CAGGCGCGTTCGAGGCGGCCGCGGCCGAGGGCTAGGGTGCAGAGGAGGAGAGGGGCCGGCTGGGGAACCCTAGAGTAGCCAGCTCCTCAGGGGGCGGGTCGCCGAGGACTTAACTTAGCTCGGATCTTCATTTCTAGGGGTGGATCCGGCCTTTCGCGTTCTCCTCCGCCGTCTCTCGTTTCCCCTTCATTCCCGCGGGGTCCGGGGACCCGGACAGCGCGGGTCTGCAGAGCCTGGGTTCGAGTTCTTTCCCCTTATCATGAAGTTTTCCCTCATCCCCAGCTCCACTTGCTGGGCAGAGTTGTTCTTGCGAAGGCTGGCAACGCGTCAGTCGCAGGTTCGCTGAGGTTTCTTGATGAAAGATGAGCTGCGGCCCCAGAGTGGAAGCTTAATTATTCTCTTCACCAGGGGCGCTGGGACGGCGTCAGTTTGAAAAATCCGAGAGCAGGTTTTGCTTATGTTGTTTTATGGCCAGTTTGGCGTTTGTCTGCTCATCTGCTGTAGCGTTTCATGCAATAACACGGGTATTTCTAGTCGGTAAATGAAATTTTATTCTCAATTCTTGGCCCGCTGATTGAGGGAACTGCATTCTCACAAGCATCACTAGGGTCCAAATAAGGGTGCACGTTCTTTAACTTGTTTCCCACCCTCCAAATGAAGGTGCAGATTCTTTGGCTTGGTTAAATCCCTCCACAGTTTTCTGGGGAGCATACTTCTTGCTCCCAAGCATCACAGGCGCTGTCCTGTCTTCCATAACCCACTTCAGTTTTGTTCCGCCTCTCTTCTACCTGTAAATGGTAGAAAGGACTTTGTCAAGTCACACCCATTCTGTTGAACTTTCCCAAGGTTCTCTAGCCCGTGGTGGTGTTCATTTTTCAACTGGCAGCTCTTAGTTATACCATGTCTTTGCTGAATAACAGTGTGGCATCACTTCTGATGTTAACGATTTTTTTGTATCGTTAATGTAACTTGTTTTTAATCTTCTCTAATGGCTCTGGATGGGAAAAGGACTGTGCTTTTATACTACACAATACTTGGTGTACAGGAAACTTTCTGGGAATATTTTGTGATGCAGTGGGTAGAGCTTTATTATTTTTTAAAATGGGTTTTCTGTCAAAAATAGTTACTGTTTTCAGCTTCTTTCTCAATTTCTTGTACTAGTTACGTTGCTTGGTGGAGAACTCTGAAGTTGGTTACAGTGGTACTGCTGCTGTACAATACTTTTCCTGTGCGAGGATTACATTGTCCCACCGTCTTCCTTACTGGCCCCTTGGTTTTTGGGGGTAGTGAGGGGATCATGCTAAAATATTCCTATTCTGCTGATTAGAAAATGAGATTCCCAAAGACAGCGGCCATGTTTCTCTTATTATTTGGTTTATCTTCTGTGCCTGCATGACACAATATTTAGGACATAGTAACATAACTAATTACTTGTTTGATGTTGAATAATATATTTCATTAGGAGCAAAAATATGCACCTGTGCATCCAGGAAATTATAATATTTAATTTGGTATATAGCTTTCAAAGGACAAGATGAGATGTTTTGTGTACCTAGTTCACAAAATGACATTGTGTATGTTTTTTCTTTTGTTATGTTTTAGGTGGCTTTTTCTCAAGTATATTTTCCAGTCTGTTTGGAACTCGGGAAATGAGGATTTTAATTTTGGGATTAGATGGAGCAGGAAAAACCACAATTTTGTACAGATTACAAGTTGGAGAAGTTGTTACTACTATACCTAGTAAGTGTTGGTATGATGAACTAATTGTAGGGGTTTTCTGGTCTCCATCTAACGTAACTCTATTTCTTTCTTTCTTTTTTTTTTTTGTTTTAATAGAGATCATGTATCACTGTGTAGCCCAAGCTGGTCTTGGACTCTTGGCCTCAAGTGATCCTCCTGCCTTGGCCTCCCAAAGTGCTGGGATTACAGGCGTGAGCCACTATGCCAGGCCTGTTTCTGAATAAATTAATTCATATAATAAAGCATTTGATAAAGTTTATAAACTGCTGGTATGAACAAAACATTGATAACACTTTTTTCATCAACTGAGAGGCAGCTTAGTGTAATTTAAGGACCCTTGTTCTGGTTTACGGCCGGGTTTGGCTGTTTATAGCTGTTTAAATTACTAAATCTTATTGAGAGCCAGTATCTTTACTAATAAAATACGTAAGATAAATACCCACTGGCTTTCAGGGGGAAATAAATGAAGTAGTTAAAAGTACCTTTTAAACCTGTGTAAAGAATTATGTAAGTGTTAAGTGATATTACATGTGAAGTGCCTTTTTTTCTGTATGTGTTACTATTTTAATTAAGATTAGTTTATCTAGGTAATTCTATTGATTCTTTTTGAAGATCTGAGTTGTAGAGATTGAGTGTTGAAGTAATTTGGTACCTTAAAAATATCAAGAGAAGGCTGGGCACAGTGGCTCACGCCTGTAATCCCAGCACTTTGGGAGGCTGAGGTGGGTGGATCATCTGAGGTCAAGAGTTCGAGACCAGCCCGACCAACATGGAGAAACCCCATCTCTACTAAAAATACAAAATTAGACAGGCGTGGTGGTGCATGCCTGTAATGCTAGCTACTCGGGAGGCTGAGGCAGGAGAATCACTTGAACCCAGGAGGCAGAGGTTGTGGCGAGCCGAGATCGCACCATTGCACTCCAGCCTGGGCAACAAGAGCAAAACTCCGTCTCGAAAATATATATGCATATATATGTATATATTTATTAAGAGAAGAAATACCTCAATTTTAATCAATTATTGCTGTCTTACAAAAATATTCTCCAACAGTCTTAGTTGAGTGTATGAGAATACTGTTGTTACTTATTCTTTTTCATTTGTTGACCTCAATTTACTTGGAGAAGATTAATACATCTAAATTAAATGAAAGAGTTCATACAGTTTGCCCAAGATGATTTAAATTATGCCTCTAACATTACTCTGTCACTCAGGGTATTTCTATATTGTTGCTGTTCAAATTTATGGACTAAAACAAAAGAGGCTAACCTTTAAGAAAGAAGAGTGTTTTGAACCCTGTAATGTCTGTTATTCCTTTTTGCTATCTTCAGCAAATTTTAGTTCCATGAGTTTTTGCTTCTCAAAACCACCCATCTCTGTCTGGGCATCTCCTGCAGTGCACAGAGCAGCACAGTGGATAGTTTCGAGTTTCAGTGAGTGCTGCTTTACACCACACTGTTTTTTGAGACAGTGTCTTGCTTTTTTGCCCAGGCTGGAGTGCAATGGCGCAATCATAGCTCACTGCAGCCTCTACTTCTACCTCCTGGGCTCAAGCCATCTTCCCACCTCAGCCTCCCAAAATGTTGGGATTACAGGCATGAGCCATTGCACCCAGTCTATGCCATTCTCTTGTCTTGCACGTGTAAACGATGTTTTTTTTTTACTATTGGTGAACATTGTGATTACACTCCTACCTAATTCTAAGAGAGACATCGTGAACTTGCATTTTAGTTTTTCACTCAAATTTGTCATAGTATTGTTATTTTTTAATTGTAATAGACATACTTGCCAAATACTCAAAGGTATCACTTCCCACTGCAAACTTAAATATAAAACAAAAGCTAATTGTCCAGTTATAGCCGGAAGTTTTATTTATTTATTTTTTTGAGACAGAGCCTCACTCTGTTGCCCAGGCGGAAGTGCAGTGGCGCCATCTCAGCTCACTGCAACCTGTGCCTCCCATGTTCAAGCGATTCTCATGTGTCAGCTTCCAGAGTAGCTGGGATGACAGGTGTGTACCACCACGCCCGGCTAATTTTTGTATTTTTAGAAGAGATGGGGTTTCACGGTGCTGGCTAGGCTGGTCTCGAACTTCTGACCTCAGGTGATCCGCCCGCCTCGGCCTCCCAAAGTGCTGGGATTACAGGTGTAAGCCACTGCACCCAGCCATGGAAGTTATTTTTTACCTATTTTTCACCTAAGAAGGATAGCAGAGAAAAGGGATGGGGCACCTGCCCTTTGACCATCCAGCCATGACCTGATTACAAGTGAGCTCTTGAGGAAGTCTGCAGATGGGCTGTGAGACTGAAAGCTGCAGCCATGGCTGTGCCCATGCTGAAGTTTAGAACTGAAGTTTAGCTTTTCTTGCTTTTGGTCTGTTTATTTGCTACCAACGAAAATTCTACTTTTTATAGTACATCCACAACTGTACTTTCTAAATACAGCTTTCGAACACTTTTAACTGCTCTGTTATGAGGGGAGTTTAATAGGATTTCCATTGAGCTAAAAATTATGTTTTCCTTTTTATTTCTTTTTAAAATTCTTTTTTAAATTTATTTGAGCTAAAATTATACACTTTATTTGCAGAACTGCTGGCTTTTAAAAAATATCCTGAAGATGGTATTGATCTTGCTAATTGATGTTTTGTGCATACACGTGCACGTGTGTGGGGGAGCAGAGCATACTATCTCATCTTAAATGGTATAAAATCTCAACTAATAATGTGATTCAACAATTATCATTTCTTTTTAATTCGAACCCTAAGACAAATTATGTATATATATATTTTAAACTTTAATAACAGCTACCATTAATTGCTGTAACTCAATTAGATAGGCTATTTTGCAGGTGGAGTGTATTAGTGTACACATACCGCTGATTTGATTTCTCTTCCAGCCATTGGATTTAATGTAGAGACGGTGACATACAAAAACCTTAAATTCCAAGTCTGGGATTTAGGAGGACAGACAAGTATCAGGTATGGTACAAAGACCAGGTTATTTGGTAGTATTTAACATTTATTGGTTCTTTTAAGGGTTAACATCAGTAAACCAGAATATGTGTTCTATTGTGATTCAAATGGAGCCACCTAGTTTAAAATGAGGTAAAATTTGGAACTATTTCCAATCCATTGAGTTAAAACTTAAGGAGCCCAGTTTTCTAGATATCTGTTTAATGAAACTCTTTTCATGAAAATCTGAAGACCTTATTACTTCAGTTATTCTCAACTAGAAAGGACCCTCCATTTAGTTCTTGTCAGTCTCTCCTCTCTGAAACACACTGTTTTGGAATTGATTATACCTTGCAGGCCTACCATTTAGGGCTAATATAAAAATAAATGCCATTGGCTGGGCACAGTGGCTCACGCCTGTAATCCCAGCACTTTGGGAGGCTGAGGCGGGCAGATCACTAGGTCAGGAGCTCAAGACTAGCCTGGCCAACATGGTGAAACCCCATCTCTACTAAAAATACAAAAATTAGCTGGGCATGGTGGTGCGTGCCTGTAATTCCAGCTACCTGGGAGACTGAAGTAGGCGAATTGCTTGTACCGGGACCTGGGAGCCAGAGGTTGCAGTGAGCCAAGATTGCGCCACTGCACTCCAGCCTGGGCTACAGAGCGAGACCCTCTCTCAAAAAAATAAATGATAAATAAAAAATAAATGCCTTCTGCAGTTCAGGTATTCTGCTTAGCATTTTGGGCTTGATACGGCAACAGTGAATGTTTGGTGACTGTCAGTAGTTGCTCACGATGGTACCGTCTTAAAAGATTAGTAATGCATTCTCCAAACATTCTGACTTCTTATAACTCATTTATTGAATCACGTTTCTTTTTTTTAAATCGTGCAGCCTCCCAAGCCAGAGTAGGCTCAGAGAGACTCCATTGAATCACTTTTGAGTTTATTTATAATTTTAGCCATTTCTACTGCTTGATGTCAGTGATTAATTTCATGAGTGTTAAATGAAATCACATTTAAAAAGTTTATTCCTCTTAAGGGGTACCTAGTTAAATATTTGTTTAAGAAGATGAATGATCAGGTCTGTGTACAACTTTTCTATCAGTATATTTAGTGATTTCATAGATTATAAATAAATTTTGTCATCCTGAAGTCTGAATTCATTTTGAAACTCCCTGGTCCTGTGATTTAATGTTTATCAACATTCTTTTGACTCCATCACATCTGAGGGATATGGTACATATATCCACCAGAAACAGTGAATCATTAAGGTATTGATTCTAACATGTGTGGGACAGAATTGGCAACTGATTTGTCAGTTTCTTCTTTAAAACAGTAACAATATATTCTCCCCTTTTGAATTTTCTCTAGGCCATACTGGAGATGTTACTATTCAAACACAGATGCAGTCATTTATGTAGTAGACAGTTGTGACCGAGACCGAATTGGCATTTCCAAATCGGAGTTAGTTGCCATGTTGGAGGTAAGAAAACTTAACCACTTTAAAATGTGGGGAAATCACTTACATTTGCTATTTGCAGTACATATTATTACATTGAAGAATAATTAAAAAGAATGCAGGGGTTGTTCTCTCCATCCTTTTAATATTATTTTCTTTTATGCAAATGCTTTTCTATTCCAAAAATACGGTTGAGGAGAGGGTTGGAGACAAAACAAAACAACA